TATATATATATATATCATGTTATGTTAGAGTATGGATATTTTAAAATACATTTGTTTTTATAATTTAATTCAAAAATATTTTATTATATCATTTTATATACTTTGTAATTTTTTTATTGTCATTATAATTCGAATCTCACTAAGCAAGTTAGTTACAGCTAGCTAGACTGTAGAAATATTTGTTACCAGCTACCTAAGTAATTAGATTTAATCAAAGAGAAACGTATAACTACTTAAGAACTCCTTTGAGTATTAAAGTTTGTTACCGCAACAGTAACGCAAAAATGCATGCTAAGCTGGACTGGCCACCGTGTTAGCCAAGCGTCTGTATATGTGTACTTAAATATGCTTCTGGTCTTGCTTGACCTCGTAAACCTAAAATTAACTACACAAAACGTATTAAATTATTACCCAGACTCCAGAGTAGTTTCTAAGCATCCCTGCTGACTTTTTCAAAGGAATGACATTGATCTAAATGTACGAATGCTCACATTATCTGAGCGCAGCCGTTTGCTGAATGTAGGCTAATGCCTCCTGACACCTTTAAGTAACCATAAAGGCAAAGCTGGCACTGGCATGAAATGGAGCTGGAAGAGCCCTGTTGACATAAGCATTAATAGGAGCATGTGCAGTGAGGGACAAAACAATGGCCACCACTAAAGATGTAAATGTTTCCTCAGAGGACGTTTGTCATCTCCTTGTTGATATATGGACCTGTCCGATTCCAAACACAGCATTCGGCGCTGTCGCATATAACGGCAGAAGAGGATAATGACTTAATTATGCCTGTGCTTATCAAGGTACCTCTGCCAACAGAATATCTTCGGTCCAGGTTTTAGCGGAGATGCTTGCCGCAGCTCGTTTAAAGGTGCTAAAGGTACGGAGTAGCATGCATTTAAGGTCTGATAAACCAGGCGCCGGCAATATAGCAGATATGGCATAACGCCAATTAAGAAATCACACTCTCGCACAGAGGCCCTGGCATATTTTTACAAGCCGGAGGCAAATGAAGCACTCCAAGTGTTCCTGTCCCTCCCGAGCTCTAACACTAATCTTATGCTCGCACTTATGGGGGAAAGGCAATGTAATTAGCAATAAACCAGCTCTCTGATGTGTGTGGATCAATCAGCACTAGACCATTTGAAGCTAGTTTTACTGTTGGAGGAAGAAAGCGCTTGAATCTAAAATAAAATAATATAAATATTTATGTAATATATATTATTAATGTAATATATTAATGCTATATACTTATATTTAAATTTGCTTTAATTATTCAGTACTATAACTTATTTTTTATCATTCCATTTAATATTATAAATGATATAAAAATATAAATACACAAATTTATAAATAAAATACTTATTCTTTTCACACATACACACACACACACTAGAGAGAGAGAGAGAGAGTAATAATAATAATAAAAAACAATATAGACAATCAGTCAGTAATAATACAAACATTTATTTTAATATAATGAACATAATGAAGCAGCTCCGTAAATGAATCGGATATTGATTCGTGAACTGTTCAGGGCTGCATTTCCCAAAAGCATCATAAGTGTAAGTACATCATAGACCATTGGAGCTATGATCAACTTAGGCTTACGACGCTTTCGGGAAACGCAAACCTGATCAATTTGTTTCATCCTAGAAATAGACTACACTTGTGTTGTACGTTTCTGATTCACTAGAAAGAACTGGCTCAGAAGAATAACTTGTTCATGAATCAGACTACATTGGTCCCACTATGTTTTTGA